TTTTTTTTTTTTTTGGACCCAGAAGTTACAAGGGGATATTACCTTAGGGTCAATTTGTTATGCCCCAAAAAATAATAATAGTGACTTTCATCTTTTGGCTTCTTAAAACTTTATAAATGTGGGCGCAAGCTATTTTAACCTTATCCTTTGTAAGTTCCGTGTAAACTACTTGTATACCTAGGTCTGTTCCTCATTCTTTCTCTTAAATGTACAAATTAATCAGCCAGTCATTTGGATAACATTGAATAATACAATTCTGAGAGTTTAAGCATTAGTTCTGTACATTCAAAAACAAAATATGAATGATCTGAAGAAGTCTTACCAGGATTTTTCCCCTGGGAGCTTCCCAGTGGCAGGGAGATATTAGTTATGTAGAGATTCATCACAAAGCCCATCTGGCCTGCATGGAATATGCTCTCACCACTTCCCCAACCTCCAGATTCCTTATAATTTGGTTGACTAATTTATCACCCAAAATGGGATATTTTTAATAGTGAAAAGTGGCACTATTAATAAATACACAAGGACAGCAGGTTAAACTGGAATTGTCCTGGTCAAACCCAGATATTTAGTAAGTCTACTTGCAGTCATGTGCCATTTAATGGAGTCACTTTCTAAGAAATGCATCTTTAGGCAATTTTAGTCTTGTGAATATCATAGAGTGAACTCACACAAACCTAGATGGCATAGCCTACTATATACCTAGGCTATATGGTATAGCCTGTTGCTCTGTAGGGGAGGAAAATAATTTTCCCTTTATCCTTCTGGGCTATTGGCTGAGACATCTCTGTAATAACAGATTAACAGGAAAAAAAAAACCCCAAAAGTTAGTAACAAGTATACCTCTTATATACATGGAATAGACCAGGGAAACTGAGTAACTTGCCAGTATGGGTGAAGACACCATTGTAAATACCATCTTCAGTTGAAGACAAAAGAAGACCTTAGGAGTAGGGGAGTTAGTTTTGTGAGGTGACCAGGAAAAACACAGTAAACAAGGGTAAGGTTGTCAAGCAGTTTAAGTCCTTGTCTTCTCTATTAATGAGAGTTTCTAGAGGTGAGGTCTTTCCCCTCTTCCTGGTACAGCCAGGGAGACATCATTACAAGAGGAGATTTCTCTTACAAATATAAGTGTCTTTTACAAAGGGTAACTTCTTGGTTTTCAGAGCTTCTCCCATGTCTTCTGTTTCTTAAAATTAACCAGCCTATGATAATCCTTATGCCAAATGGATATTTTAGAGTGACAAATTCTGTTTCCCTATAGCTCCTAGGCTACAAACTTGTACAGCATAGGTAGTTGTAACACAAAGGTATTTGTGTAATACATTGCACTATGACATTACAACAGTCTATGATGTTACTAGGCAACAGGAAGTTTTTAGCTCCATTATAATCTTATGGGACCATTGTTTTATATGTGGTCTGTGTTGATCAAAATATTGTTCTGCGGTGCATGACCGTATAATTAATTTGGTGTTCTAAGTCTTTAGCATCAGAGAAATATCCACTGTGCAAGAAGATAATTCTTCCTTCCTTGGTAGGTATGTCTCCCACTACAAATTGATAAATTGATCCCTAGCTTAACTCTCTTTATTGACTAGATTAGTTTGCATTGTTACCATAATTCTGATTACCTAACTCTTGTTACATGAATGAAGTCCCCTTAAGGGCTTTGAAAATTTAGCATCAGTTGTTGGGATGTGGTGGTGGGGGGCGGGTCACATAGTCTATTGCTAAGCATTTTTTCTTTAATTGAAGTATTATTCACATACCATAAAATTCACTCTTTAGAGTCTAAAATTGCATGATTTTTATTGTATTTACAAAATTATACAATCTTTACTGATATCTAACTCTAAAACATTTCATCAACTTTAAAACCATGTATCCATTAGCAGTCACTCCCTGTATTAGTTTCCTGTGGCTACTATGACAGATTAACAAAGATGGTGACTTAAAACAAGGAAAATGTATTTCTTCTCAGTTCTGGAGGCCAGAAATTCAAAATCAGTATTACTGGACCCAAATCAAAGTGATGACGGAGCTGCATTACCCGCCGACACTCTAGGAGAGAATCTCTTCCTTGCCTCTTCTAGCTTGTGGTCATGGGTGGAATTCCTTGGCTTGTCTTTATATTGCTCTCTCCAAGTGTATGTGTGAAATCTTCCTCTCTTACAAGGACACATACGATGCCATTTAGGGTCCATTTGTGTAATTCAGGATAATCTCCCCATCTCAAGATCTTTAATTTAATCATATCTGCAAAGACCCTTTTCCCAAATCAAGTAACATATACATGTTTCAGGGATTAAGACCTGATATTTTGGGGGTTATTATTCACCTAACTTTGGCTCACTATTCCTTTTTTCCACCAGCCCATGGTAACTACTAGTTTATTTCTGTCCATATGGATTTGCCTATTCTAGACATTTTATGTAAGTAGAATCATAAACCATATGGTCTTTTGTGTCTGGCTTTATTCACTTAGCGCGTTTACAAGGTTCATCCATGTCATATATGTATAGTGGTGCTTTATTCATTTTTATGGCTGAATAATATTCTGTTGTATGGCTGGCTATACCACAGTTTGTTTATCCATTCCTCAATTAATGGATGTTTGGATTGTTTGTAGTTTGTGGCTATTATGAATAATGCTGCTGCGAACATTGTTTTGCAAGTTTTTGTGTAGAGTTATGTTTTCAGTTCTTTTTGCTATATACCTAGGAGTGAAATTGCTGGGTCATATGGTAAATATATTTAATTGTTGAGGTACTGTCAACTGTTTACAGCAATTGCACCAGCAATAAATGAGGATTCCAGTTTCCCCACATCCTCTGCCACACTTGTTTCTCTTTTTGATTATAGCCAATAGTGGGTATGAAGTTATATCCGATTGTGATTTTGATTTATATTTCCCTAATGGCTAATCATGTTGAGCAGTATTTCTTGTGCTTATTGACCAGGTATATTTCTCTGGTGAAATAGCAGGCGATGTTATGAAATTAAGAAAATTATTATAAGGCTGGGTCATGTGACTGAATGTAGGGTAGATAGAGATGTGGCAGTTTTAGATAGGGTTGTCAGAGTAAGTCTCAGGGAGAGGTAAGTTTGGACATGGACTTGAAGGAGATAGAAATGTTAGCCATGATGGTATCTGAGAGACAGGAATTTCAGGCAGAAACTCTGAAGGGAATGTTTAAGAAACAGCAAGGGAGCCACTGTGGCTAGATTAGAGTGAATGAACGTTAGAATAGTGGGAGAAGAGATCAGAAAAGGTACCAAGAGTGGAAATGGTGGCGAGTGTCTATAAATCTTTGACTTTTCTCCATTCTTTAGAAATAGTCATGTCTTTTGACAAAGAGCAACCTTGGTTTAATAGTATTCCCATCCTAGACTCCCAGAGTCCTGAGGGTGGTGAGGAGACAGCCATGCAGGTACCTGGATGATGAGCATTTATATTAGAGAGACAGCAAATACAAGGTCCCTAAGCAAGGTAAAGTGTTTAGTGTGTTCAAGGAATAGCAAGGAGGTTAGTGTGGCGAGAGCAAAGTGGATGTGGAGAGGAATGAGGTAACGGCAGGGTGGTATGCAGGGCTGGAGGTATGTGTGGTCTTGTAGGCCTTGGCCCTTTACTGAGTGAACCAGAAAGCCATTAAAGAGTTTTGAGCTGAGCAGTGATAAAATCTGATTTGTTTTAATAGAATCACTATGCCATGTGGAAAAGAGACTGAAGTGGGGTAAGGGAAGAAGTACCGTTGGATTTAAGTTCAGTCAGTGGGGGAAGTCAGGACCAGAGGAAGAAATTTAAGAGACATCAATGAATGGATTATAATTAGGGCCTTGAGTTGGGATGAGATTATTAAGAGTTCATTTAAAATTTGCTAGGCATATGCTAAACACTTAACATTGAATTATACTGTGTATTGACTAGGTGTAGGTTATTCTTAGCCATTTGATACTTTTCTATAATAATATTTATGAAATTAGTATGTGTGAATCAATTGAGATATGTGCATTTAATATAAATATTCCTCCAATTCTACTACAAAGCAAACTGCCATAGAATAGTTGGTGCTTTTGAAAAAGAGCTTTTACCTTAAGTCTAAGAAATAAGAATTTTTGCCTTTAAGATATAGAAACACATTTAAAAGTGATAAACTTGCCAAAGAAGATACAGCTGATGTGTGGTCGACTTAGAATTCCATGTTAATCATCTCTAACTCCAAAGCCCATATTTCTAAACAC